GAGAGAGAGAGAGAGAGAGAGAGAGAGAGAGAGAGAGAGAGAGAGAGAGAGAGAGAGAGAGAGAGAGAGAGAGAGAGATTTTCTAATTACCAACCACCCTACAGAATGCGAGAGGCGGGTATTGTACTGTCGTGTTACTTTGCAGTGAACAACTCGGAACATGTTATTAGCAGACGTGTGAAGAAATGGAACATGTTATTAGCAGACGTGTGGAGTAGCGGAACAGTACACTGGAGTGGTTGGTGGATATAGAACTAACGGAACAGTACACTGGAGTGGTTGGTGGATATAGAACTACACTCTCTCTCTCTCTCTCTCTCTCTGTGCGTTTCTCTATCTATCTATCTATCTATCTATCTATCTATCTATCTATCTATCTATCTATCTATCTATCTATCTATCTTGGATCTATTTTGTTCCGTAAGTAACAGGACACTATAGGTGGCTACTGTACTGTTCTATTACCTCACACGTCTGCGAAGAAGATTTTCCCAGCTGTTCAGAAGGGCAAACTATTTTTCATACGGATCTCACCTTTTTATTTTTTTATTTTTTATTTGATTTTTAAAATAATTTGTTTCATTTTTCATATTGATCTAGTACACGCTAATGTCGACCATGCAGACCTCCACCAGGACCAGGTACGTGCTCTCACATCACTTCCCCACTCGCCCTCTCTACGCTCACCCTCGTCTCTCCTCCCACGAGCTTCCACCTCCATAGGATGCCCCCACCATACCCCTTTGACCTTCTTCCAAGCCCAAGCCCAGCTATGGAGGCTGGGCTATGGCGCTGCTTCCACACAGTGCCATTACTGCTAACTACGCCTGCGTGCGCTCTCTTGCACAAGCGCCCAGTGGCCTACACTTTTACGACGCAGCAGCGCTGCGCTAAACTTGAAAGTGCCCGAATGCTTGCATCGATACCTTGCACTTTCCCGAATGGAAAGTCGTCAGGCCCACTTGCTGCCTGGACTGGGACGCGTCCGTGCCCGCCCAGTGGTAGCGTCACTTTGGGCCAAAGTGTCTGCGCCCAGACCCGTTCAGACAGTGGCCTGGGCCGGCAGCAGGTAGGAGGGCCCAACCACCTCAAGCACAGTGAGGAGGTGTTCCCTGCTTTCTGATTCGCCGAGAGGCAAGCTTCCAAGTCTTGAGTAGAAGGGCTTAGAAGGCTCACGGAAGATTCCGATGCTCGCGAGATGGCACACGTAACCAACTGGCGCATAGCAACTGTCTGGTGGCCCCCCTAAGGCTGACAAATTTTGCAGTATTCGGGCCTCTTTGAGCTACAGGGCCCACCTTCACTTAGGGCGGGCACAAAGCTTGCAGCGGGGGCCCCATACGGGCATGCCGAGGGCTCAGATCCTCGCATGTGGATTATTGTGAGTTGCAAAAAGAATAAAATGCTGAGCAGTTTCTTTTCCTGAAGCAAGGTTATCCACAAACTTTCTCTCTCTCTCTCTCTCTCTCTCTCTCTCTCTCTCTCTCTCTCTCTCTCTCTCTCTCTCTCTCTCTCTCTCTCTTCCCATCCACACAAATCTTGCAGATCTTTCCATTCGACGTTGCCCTGTAACCTAGCAGGGTGGGGGCATGAGGCCTGGGAGAGCTCGGTGGGGAGGAAGACAGTATCAGAGAATTTTAGAGTGTTTTTGTGGGGAGCCTCCAGGGGTTCTGAGCATTCGAAGGACTTCTACTAATTGCTGTTTGGATTCTTTCAGTAGTTCCTTGTCTAAATTCATGAAATTCTCTGATGATGGGACGCTGGGCCCGGTTCCCTGTTGGTGCCAAATTAAGAGGATATGGTTGTATCTATGGGATGCTGGACCGGGTTTCCAGCAGGTGTTGCTCCCCACCAATAGATGGAGCTGTTTGTTAAAAAAAAAAAAAAAAAGAAAGAAAAAAAGACATGCACTGATTGGCAGAAAACAGGAGGTTGTTCCTCTCTCTCTTTCTCTCTCTCTTTCTCTCTCTCTCT